CAACCCTTAACAAGAGATGTATCTGTATAAAAATATTTGCATATGGAGTTTTAATAGTGTGGCATGAGACTGAATTGTTTTTTGTAAATGTTTAGTCATACTTTTCTGAAATATATATATGTATGTGTATGATATATGTATATGTATGTGTATACATACATACACACACACACACACACACACACACTCACACTCTAGAGGCCCGGTGCACGAAATTCATGCACAGGTAGGGTCCCTAGGCCTGGTCAGCCATCAGGGCCTATTGGGGCCTTCTGGCTGCTGGCTGGGGCCTTCCTTCCCTGGCTGCCAGCTGCTGACCAGGGCCTTCCTTCGCTCCGCACTGCCGCCTGGTGGTCAGTGCACATCATAGCAAGCTATTGAACTCCTGGTCTGCTGGCTGAACTCCTGAGGGGACACTTTGCATACTAGCCTTTTATATATATAATATATATACTAGAGGCCCAGTGCATGAATTCATGCACCACTGGGGTCCCTTGGCTTGGCCTGTGGGATTGGGTCGAAACCCGCTCTCCAACATCCCCCAAGGGGTTCCAGATTGTGAGAGAGTGCAGGCCAGGCCGAGGGACCCCACCGTTACACGATTGGGGCCTGGGAGGGATACTGGAGGTTGGCCAGCCAGGGAGGGACCGAGGGAGGGCCTGTCTCGCTCAGTCCTGATTGGTCGGACCCCAGCAGCAAGCTAACCTACCGGTCGGAGCATCTGCTCCCTGGTGGTCAGTGCTCGTCATAGCGACTGGTCAACTGTCTGCCCCCTGGTGGTCAGTGCACATCATAGCAAGCATTTGAGCGGCCTTAGCATATCATTAGCATATTACGCTTTGATTGGTTGAACGGCTGACTGGACTGGACACTTAGCATATTAGGCTTTTACTATATAGGAGATATCTACACTAATAAAAGAGAGACATGCAAATTGGTGTCACTCCGCTACGCCAACCAGCCAGTCAGAGCGACTACAAATAAACCCAACAAAGATGGAGGTTTTTAATTTGCACATGCAGGAGCAGAGTGAAGACTGAAGGCTCCAGCCGGAGTGAAGACTGAAGACTGAAGAGGCTTGACTTCTCTGCTGCGGCCGGACCAAAGGCCTGGGTCCCGGGTGCCGGAGGAAAACCGGTGCCAGCAGCCAGAGGAAGGAAGGCCTGTTGCGCGAATCTTCGTGCAACGGGCTTCTAGTGGGTGTGTGTGTGTGTGTGTGTGTGTGTGTATTTACTTTTCACTCTTCTTTCTTCCCCACAATCCTGTGAGGAAGGTTAATTCTTCAAGTTCTAATGTATAAATCAGAAAGTAAATCCTAAGCATCTAAGTGACTTTCAAGAATTAATATAGCAAAACATTGTGGAGCTGACATTAAAACTTGCAACTTTGGCTTTAATTCAGTTTAGCTCACTTTGTAAAATGTATTCTTATATATAAGAAGTCAATTTTGATGCTGGCTAGGAAAATCTGTAATTATGTTGTACAGTTTCGTTTTTTGTTTCTCTGATGTATTTTGGTTATAGATGTGAATTTCCATTATGATGGTTATTGTTAACAATGTGTGCTTTACCCTTAAAGTGAAAGTAAAAGGCTGAATTTCAAGGAATTGCATAATTAGGTTGTTACAACTCTACCTACAACCTTTGGCTTCTCCTATATTCTGTTACCTTCCACATTATTTTTAACATTGTTTTGAAAACTTTGTATTAAAGGAAATTATAAACATAAACAAAAGTAGAGAAACTAGCATGATGTTACCCCATGTACATATCATCCAGCTTCAAGTTAATCAATACATGGTTAACTTTTTTTCATCTATAACATCTCTCTTTCCTCCTCCATATTAAAGCAAAGCCCAGACATCATTTCAACTGTTGAAAAAATGATACTAGTATAACACCTAAATATTAATAGTTCTTAATATTTTTAAATATCTAATCAGTGTTCAAATTCCCTATATTATCATCACATTCTTTATCAGATAAGGGTCCCTCAGCTTCAGTTGCCAATAGCTGGTGATTAGCTTAGTTAAAAGATAGGCCCAGACCTATTTTTTTGTATGTCCCTATTCTTATAGTGATCTCCCATTCTGATAGTAGAATAAAAAAGAGAAGCTTCTTGGCAGTAGCTTGGGGAAATTGTTTTTAATTCTTCATATTTATTACTGCAATGCTTCCATATATCATGTATCACTTTTGGAAAGAAATAGAGCATTTGTGGGTAGTAAAGCTGTGCTTCTCAAAGTGTGGTCCCTGGACCAGCACCATCAGCATCACTTGGCAACTTGTTAGAGATTCAAATTCTCAGGCCCTACCCTAGACCTGCTAACATAAACCCTGGAGGGAGGGATCCATTAGTCTGTGTGTTTATAGCAATTTTGGTGCAAGCTAAAGTTTGAGAACCACTATCATTAAGAAATTTCATTTAAATGCTTAACCTTTTTGAACACCTCAATTCTATTAAGAATAGTATGTTGGCATCTATAATCTTTGGCCAACTTGCAGGGTAAGTTTTAGGCATCCTCATCTCGGTACTTTACAATTTCTATATTTTCTTTCCCCAGTACTAGGATGCTTTTTAAATTAGTGTCGTACATTTTGGGAAGGCATTTAAAAAGGAGCTCTGCTTTCTAAAATTCTTAAAACAAGTAAGTGGACGTAAATGTAGATTATGCCCTGCCGGCGTGGCTCAGTGATTGAGTGTCAACCTATAAACCAGGAGATCACTGGTTTGATTTCCAGTCAGGGCACATGCCAGGTTGTGGTCTTGATCCCTAGAAGGGGGCGTGCAGGAGGCAGCTGATCAATGATTCTCATTGATGTTTCTCTTTCTCTATACCTCTCCTTTCCTCTTTGAAATCAATAAAAATATATATTTTTAAAAATGTAGATAACTTTGCTTGTTGTAATACTACTCGTCATTATATAATATAGCTCTTATAAGTTTTCAGTAATTCCTGCTATTTGGGGGGTATGGGTATAATGCCATGTCTCCATCATATGACCATATGCCATATGACTATCAAAAAGGGAGTAAATTATAGTTGTGAATCACGAGGAACAAAAGGTAGGAAAACATTCTCAGCAGTGTTCTCCAGGGGGGGCATTGTTGGTTGGCACAGTGACTGGAAAGAGGGTGTTCCCATCATTAGTACATAAGAGCCAGGGATATTAAACAAGCTGCAGAGGGTGGGGAGTAGAATATAGTCCCTAACATCAAATTGTTTCATCTGAAATGCCAGCAGTGTCCTGTGGAGATACACTTTGAAGGATGCTTTTCTAAGCAATCTCCATTGTTCAAATTTATTTCACCTGCATTTACCAAGTGCTGCCAAAAATCATAGTTAAAATAGTTTTCCAAATGGCTGACTGACTATATGGATGCCCGCTTATTTGTTGTTTTTCCCCCCAATCACAATTTACCCCCTCTATGTCCTCTTCCACCTCCATCCTTTTCCTCCCTCCCCTTCCCTGGCAATCACCACACTGTTGCCCATGTCCATGAATTCTGTTTTTCATTTTTTGCTCAAGCCCTGCACCCCACCCCACCAATACCACCCTCCTCACCAGACCTGTCTGCCTGCTCTTTATATATGAGTCTGTCTTTATTTTGCTCAGTAGTTCAGTTTGTTCATTAAATTCCACATATGAGTGAAATCATGTGGTACTTATCTTTCTCTGACTGGCTTATTTCACTTAGCATAATGTTTTCCAGGTCCATCTACGCTGTCACAAAGGGTAACATTTTCTTCCTTTTTATGACAGAGTAATATTTCATTATGTAAATGTAACATAACTATTTTTATCCACTCATCTACTGATGGACACTTGAATTCCCGCTTATTTGGGTGGTCTCCTAATCTTTCCTTGCTTTCTCTGGCAATGAACTATCATGATGGTGGGAAATGGTAGAGTCATTATCATCTCTCAAGCTCAAAGACTATATACTATTCCTTTTTCCATGTGTATAACCATTGTTGGCTCCCTGGATCAGAGGGTAAAGCTATAAAAGCACATTCCTAGATTTTTTCCTAATCTGCTCAACAGTAGATTGAAGGACAGAAGTGAGTAGATGGATGAATTGAACCAATTATACCCATGATTTAAAGAGATACAGTTCAATGATTTGGGAAGAATGTAAAATATGCAAAAATGTTTTTTTTACTAAAAGAATGAAAAAATGCCAAAAATTTTACTAATTCTTTTAGGAATGAATTGGATTCCAGTTAAAGTGAAATATTTTTTAATATATTTTATTGATTTTTTTACAGAGAGGAAGGGAGAGGAATAGAGAGTTAGAAACATCGATGGGAGAGAAACATTGATCAGCTGCCTCCTGCACACCTACTGGGGATGAATGAATTGGATTCCAGTTAAAGTGAAATATTTTTTAATATATTTTATTGATTTTTTTACAGAGAGGAAGGGAGAGGAATAGAGAGTTAGAAACATCGATGGGAGAGAAACATTGATCAGCTGCCTCCTGCACACCTCCTACTGGGGATGTGCCCACACCAAGGTACATGCCCTTGACTGGAATCGAACCTGGGACCTTTCAGTCTGCAGGCTGAGAGGCTCTATCCACTGAGCCAAACCAGTTAGGGCTAAAGTGAAATATTTTTAACAGCATTTAATTCAGACAAAACTGGGTTTTGATTTGTGTGCTTTGAAACTAATTTGCTGACTGCTGTGATCCCTGGACAATAGATATTAACTACTTTGGTTATTATCTAAAGTCTATTTGGAGCTTAATCCTTTATTTCTCTGATATTTACTAGTAGAGTGATTGCTGAGGCTATTATATGAATTGATCTTAATGGTTTCCTAGAGTGCTGTGTAGTTTGATGGTTAATCATTGTGGTTTAAAAAAAGTGAATTATACATTAGGACACAGATCATTTTCTGAAATACCTAACAACTTTTGCTATATTTATTCAGCTTTAGCTTGGAAATTGTGAGGAATTTTGCTAATATGTATCTGATTGTCATGTTTTCTTGCAGAGAGACAACTTTCAGTGGATCCATGCAGTCTGTGTTTGAACTAATTCACTATGTAGGGTGGCTGTCCACTAATGCATTGCGCTTGGAAAGCAACAGTACTTTCTTGCTGCACTTTGTTTTGGATTTCTATGAGAAGGTGGTACACATCCTATTTACCCTATTTAGATTTTTGTGATGGCTTTCTGCTTTAATCACCTCTTATTTCAATTTTATTTATAATCATTAAGTTGGACTATGACCTTGTTAGCATAGTTAAATAAGCTATATATTTTAAAGTTAATGATTATATTCTCACATGAATAAGTGACTTTCATAAAACAAAATGGAAAAACAAATGCTTTTTTTGAAAATTCCAGGTACCACTTTATTAGACATTCTCCTGAATAATGCTGACCTTAGACAGAGGTCTGTCTCTAGCATCACTTTTTGCTCATCCTTTATACGTCCCAACCCTTGGTAAAAAATTGAAAGTACCTTCTTGTTTCTTCAGCTCTTTGCTCCCATCTTTCAACAGCTTTATTTCTCCCAGCACTTATGATTCTGGTGCTCTTGTATTGTTTATGTCACCTGGACAGAACTATTATTCAGGAAGTAGTCACTATTTGTTTTCCTGGCTTCTTCCCTTTCCCAATACCTAGTTGTCTGTATTAAATTTGCTTAGAAGCATATTCCTTTGTTTTCTAGGTTGACAGCTAGCTAATATATGGATAAGTCAGTATTCATGGAACTTGAGAAAGAAATGCTTCCTTTCTCACCAACTCTGAGATCTGTCCCTAGAAAAAGAGAAAGATTTTAATGATCTTCTGAATATAATCCTCTATGATAATGGTCAGTGTTTGGTGAGGTACATTTTTAAGCAGGCTTGAGGCTACCTATTCTATTGATGGATCAGGAACGCCCCAACTTGATGGTATATTATTGCTTATTCTCTACTAATGATTCTTTGGATGAACTTGGTTGAGGGTTCTGGGAGATAATCTATATACTGATGTTATATTCTCTCCAAAAGGTGTGTGACATATATATAAATTATAACCTTCCATTAGTGGTGTTGTTTCCTCCTGGGATCTTCTACCTTGCACTCCTCAGTCTGGATTCCAGTATCCTAAACCAGCTCTGTTACATTATGCACAGGTACAAGGCCTTTTTACTGTTTTATGAATTAGAACATTATAATTTTATCTTCATTTTTCAATTATATAATAAGTTATAATTTATTAATATACTATAATAAATTTACTATATATAATTTGTAAAATATGAAAACAATAAAATTATTATCCATTTTATGCCAGGGCCCATGAAATAGGAAACATGGCTTTCTTTTGGAAATGACCTTGTGGTATGAAGCTATTTTAATTGTGTGTTTTATTTAAATGTTACTGGGGGGTATAGATTTTTAAAATTTATAGTAACATATTTTATGCAATGGTACTGCTGCACTCAGCATTGTTAATTCTTATTGCTGTGGCTTAGAGAAAAAGTAATTATTTGCTGACAACTGGTTTAGGTCTACATAGTTTCTCTGGTGAAAAGAACATTTTCTGGGAGGTTAGGGGATCTGTTGCCAGTTATATGAAACTGTAAGTATTATTCTGATCCCCTCTAATTCTTTCACTTATGGACTGAAATTTCTCTTTTTAGTCCTTAAGTGTAGACTCTTGGTATAACTTGCAGGACTATGCCAAGGTTAAAATGTTTAAAGACTAATTAGATAATAGTTCTCAGGCTCAAAGGAAAAGATTACATTTTAAGTGTACCCTTTATTTATCTGCACCTTTTTTCCACATTAATAAAATAGGTTCTGTATTAGTAACTGACTGCTTTTGAGTCTCTATTAATTTTTAATAGTGAAACATTAAAAGCATTTTCTGTATTTTTTCCTTTTTATTGAAGTATAATTTACATATAGTCAAAGTGCATATCTTAAATCTACAACTCAATATATGAGCCTCTGATTTTTATTCCTTGAGGAGAATGTACCATAAAGGATTTAAAACCTTAACTAGATAGCTGGATATTTGTGTATGTGCACATCTGCATATCTAAAATGTATACTTTTGCCCCACTGGTGTGGCACAGTGATTGAGCTTCGACCTACGAACCATGAGGTTCAATTCCCGGTCAGGGCACATGCCCAGGTTGTGGGCTCGATCCCCCAGTGCAGGGTGTGCTCAGGCAGCCAATCGATGATTCTCTCTCATAATTGATGTCTCTCTCTCTCTCTCTCCCACTCTCTTCCTCTCTGAAATTAATAAAAATATATATTAAAAAAGATTTTTTTAAAATGTACACTTGTATGTTTACATTTCAAAGGCATTTAATGTTAAGCATTTCATTCCATTTGTTCATCCTTTTAGATACCGTAATAATTTGACAGCTGCAAAGAAAAATGAGTTGATACTAAAGGTATGCATGATAAACCTCTGTTAAGTCACCATTGTTTAAAAATTGAGTGTAGATATACTGGTATATGATCTGCTGGGAATAAGAAGGGAAGGGAGAATAGGTGATGATGACACTTTTTTTTTCTTCCCCAATAGAAAAAATCAGAGTTCATATTCAGCAGCAAGACCTATCAAGAATATAATCACTATTTGACAGCCATGGTTGGTTGCCTGTGGACATCCAAACCCTTCCAGAAAGGATCGTATTTTGATCCCGAAGTCTTTAAAATGATTGGAGTAGCAAAGTATAAAACCAGTTTAAATTTAGTCCATCACCCTGCTCTATTGAGTTATGCTATTTCCTTTTTGCTAAAGGTAAGGATAGTTAAAAGATTTTTAGATTTTATAGAGAATACCATGATGGCAGGAATAGAAAATGCCATAAATTTATTGTGTCTGAATTGCAAAACATGTTTAATCATTCTTTTTTTGAGTACCAGCTAAATTTTGGATATTGTGGTAAGCTCTGTAGATCAATTTGTTATACTATTGCCATCTTAACGATGTTATATCTTCTAATCTATGAACATACTATGTCTTTCCATTTATTTAGGTCCTCTTTAGTTTTTTTTATAGTTTTCAATTTATGTTTTACTTTTGGATTCCTAAGTATTTTATTTTTGATGTTATTATAAATGAAATTGTTTTATTCATTTCATTTTCAATTGCTTATTGCTGCTATATAGAAATGCAATTAATTGACTTGTGAATATTGATCTTATATCCTGAAACTTTGTTGAACTTATTTATTAGTCTTTATAGCTTTTCATTGGATTCTTCAGGGTTTCCTGCAAACAGATGATTTTATTTCCTCCTTTAAAATCTGGATGCCTTTTTTTTCTTGCCTAATTGCATTCCCTACAGCCTCGGGTACAATGAATGTTGAAGAAAAGTGGCAAGAATGGGCAGGTTTATTTTTTTTCTTGGTCATGGGGAAAACAGATTTTTGCAAGTATGATGTTAGGGGTTTCCATGGATGCCTTCATGAGGTTACCCTTCCAGTTTTAGTTTGTTGAATGTTTTTTATCATGAAAGGGGTGTCAGATTTTGTGAAAGGCTTTTTCTACTTCTACAAACATGATTATGTGGGTTTTTGCCTTTTATTCTGTTGACATGGTATATTCCATTAATTGATGTTCAGATGTTTAACCAACGCTACATTCCTGGGATAAATCTCACGTGGTTATGGAAAACGATCCCTTTACATGTTGCCAGATTTGGTTTCCCAGTACTTGTGGAGGATCAGGGATATTGATTTTTCCTTGTGATGTCTTTGTCTGGACACTTTTATGAAGAAACAACCACTCTCAGTTTCTTGAATATCCTTCTAGAATCGTATTATACATTTCTTTGTAAATTATATTTTTCAACACTACACTATACTTTTCTGCTTCTTGATTTTTTTATTTAGTATCTTGGCTTTTGTTTCATATTTGTACATAAAGGGCTTCCTCATTCTTTGTGATGTCTCTGTAGTATTTCATTGTATGGATCTAACATAAGTTAAATATATAACTTATAAGTTGAGCGTTTAAGTTGTTTCTTAACCTTGTTATTAAGTTATACTTCAGTGAATGTTCTTAAACTATATGCATCATTTCAAACATATGTATGTGTGTCTGTTGGATAAAATTGCTCCAAGTGGAATTGCTTTTAAAAGGGTATATCTTTTGTCCTGGCCAGTGTGGCTCAGTTGGTTGGAGAGTCATCCTGTATACTGAATGGTTGTGGGTTCAATCCCTAGTTGGGGCATGTACAGAAGGCAAACAATTGATGTTCTCTATTCTCTCTCGCATCACTGTTTCTTCCTTTCTTTCTCTTTCTTTCTCTCTCTCTCTCTCTCTCTCTCTCTCTCTCCCCCCCCATCTCCTCCCCCCACCTTCCTCTCTCTCTAAAATCAATATGAATATCCTGCTTAGATGGGGAGGCTCAGTGGTTGAGCATCAACCTTTGAGCCAAGAGGTCACCAGTTCAATTCCCAGTCAGGGCACATGTCTGAGTTGTGGGCTCAGTGCCCCTAGGTGGCATGCAGGAGGCAGCCAATCGATGTTTCTATCTCTCTAGCCCTCTCCATCCCCTTCTCTGTAAAATAAATAAAAACATATTTTAAAAAATAAGAATGTCCTTGGGTGAGGATTTTTTTAAAAGGGTATATCTTTTTAATTTTATTAGGTATTGTCAAATTGCTTTCAGTAGAAGTTATACCAGTTTACATTATTGCTAACAATGAATGGGTGTCAATTTCTCCATACCCCTTCAACACAGTTGCATCCGGTTCTTATTTGGAAAAGCATGTAATGAATCATAGAGCAGAATTGCTTTTCATAAGTCAATTCTTTTTTTTTCTTTTCAAGTGTGTGTGTGTCTTATAAGACTCAGTCTCTGAAGTAGTAAATATTATCAAGTTGGACATAGATAAGCAAAGTTGTTTTGGGTGATTAGGAATTGATATATTCCTTTAAATCAGAAAATGGTTTTTAAAATGTTTAAGGTAGGTTGGTTCTGAAAGGAGAAATTCTAGTGGCACAGAGCACATGTAGCAGAAGGTGAAACTCCCATTTTTGTAATTGATGATGTTTCTGTATGGTTCTGAAAATAACGAGGCTTTAATGCCAATCTTTCTTTTAAAAGAGTGCTTTTTGAGCCCTGATTATCACCAGCTAATGGCTCACTAAGTATCTTACTTTTGAGGTGGAAAAAATAATCTCTGGTACCATGTTAGTATAATTGAATTCTGACAGTTTTACTGAATCATCACATTGTAAATATTTCAAATTAGCCAAATTTTTATAAGTAATTCAGTGAATTTAATTTGACCAATCAGTTCTCAGTATCAAAGAGCACAGCTCACTTTTTTCCTTAAATGAGATTCTATTTTTTTAATGTTTGTATTGATTTTTTTAATGGTTTTTATTGATTTTAGAGAAAAGGGAGAGAGAGAAACATCGATCAGCTGCCTTCTGCATGCCCCATACTGAGTATTGAGCCTGCAACCCCAGCATGTGCCCTGACAGGGAATCGAACCACTGACCTCTTGGTTCATGAGTTGGCTCAATCATTGAGCCACACCAGCTGGGCTGCAGCTCAATTTTTGAGTTGAAATATATTTTGAATATTTTTAGAGCCTACATTTCAGGAAATTCTGAAGTTCTAGGCTTTCTAATCATAAATTACCTTTGAATTAATAGCTATTTGTTTCTTTGTTTATTCATTTAATACATATTTATTTATTTATTGTCCACTGTGCTTCTGGCACTAGGGATACAGTGATTAAGAAGACAGATACTGCCTGGCTGGCATGGTTCAGTGGTTGAGCATTGACCTATGAACTAAGTGGTCGCAGTTCGGTTTCCGGTCAGGGCACATGCACGGATTGCAGGCTTAATCCCCAGTGTGGGGTGTGCAGGTGGCAACCGGTTGATAATTCTCTTTCATCATTGATGTTTCTATCTCTCTCTCCCTCTCCCTTCCTCTCTGAAATCAATAAAATGTTTTTTTTAAGGAAGATTGATACCATCTCTGCCGCAATGGAGTTTATATGCTAATGAGAAGAAACAATAACCAAGTAATGTAATAAGTAGACATAATTTTTTTAAATGTTGAGAAAGGCTTTGTAGGACATAAGCAGGGTGGGGTGATAGAGTGACTTGAATGTTGTCAGGGATGGGTGTTCAAGAAGGCCTTTTTGAGGAGGTGACATTTGATCTGAGATTTCTTCTAGAAGGTGAGAATAAGCCAGTTTGTGAATATCTGGATGAAGAGCATTCCAGGTAGTGGGAACAGTAAAATGGCTCCAGGGTTTCAAGGAAAAAAGGAAGGCCAGTTTGATTTAGAGTTTAAGGAACAAGAGGGAGAATGGAATGAAATAAGGTTGGAGAAATCCAGGTACTGTTTTTCTTACAGGTCTGTTAGGAGTGTATGTTAGCAGTTGAAAGATTTTTAAATAGGGTTGTAGTATGGTCTCAGTTCATCTTTAATAGAGATCACTTTGGCTTTTTCATGGAGGATAGAGTTATAAAAGGAGGCCCGAGTGTAGTGGAGGCACCAACTGGGAGGCTATTGGAGTCTAGACAAGAGATACTAATAGTGATAGTGGAATGAAGAGAAGCAGACTGATTTGAGATATATTGCAGAGGTAGAATAGACAGCATTTGATAACTTGATAGAAGTGGGAGTGAGGGGGGAAAAAAGGACTTTTGAGTTTTTTGAATTAAGCATCTGGGTTGATGGTGGCTCCATCTATACTAATAAAAGGGTAATATGATAATTAGACTGGGAGACCTTCCGGACATTCTGGACAAAGCCATGGTGGCGGGGCCAAGGCAGAGGCGGTTAGGGGTGATCAGGCCAGAAAGGGGGGCAGTTGGGGGCAATCAGGCTGGCAGGAGGGCAGTTGGGGGTGATCAGGCCAGAAAGGGGGGCAGTTGGGGGCAATCAGGCTGGCAGGAGGGCAGTTGGGGGTGATCAGGCCAGAAAGGGGGGCAGTTGGGGGCAATCAGGCTGGCAGGAGGGCAGTTGGGGGTGATCAGGCCAGAAAGGGGGGCAGTTGGGGGCAATCAGGCTGGCAGGAGGGCAGTTGGGGGTGATCAGGCCAGAAAGGGGGGCAGTTGGGGGCAATCAGGCTGGCAGGAGGGCAGTTGGGGGTGATCAGGCCAGAAAGGGGGGCAGTTGGGGGCAATCAGGCTGGCAGGAGGGCAGTTGGGGGTGATCAGGCCAGAAAGGGGGGCAGTTGGGGGCAATCAGGCTGGCAGGAGGGCAGTTGGGGGTGATCAGGCCAGAAAGGGGGGCAGTTGGGGGCAATCAGGCTGGCAGGAGGGCAGTTGGGGGTGATCAGGCCAGAAAGGGGGGCAGTTGGGGGCAATCAGGCTGGCAGGAGGGCAGTTGGGGGTGATCAGGCCAGAAAGGGGGGCAGTTGGGGGCAATCAGGCTGGCAGGAGGGCAGTTGGGGGTGATCAGGCCAGAAAGGGGGGCAGTTGGGGGCAATCAGGCTGGCAGGAGGGCAGTTGGGGGTGATCAGGCCAGAAAGGGGGGCAGTTGGGGGCAATCAGGCTGGCAGGAGGGCAGTTGGGGGTGATCAGGCCAGAAAGGGGGGCAGTTGGGGGCAATCAGGCTGGCAGGAGGGCAGTTGGGGGTGATCAGGCCAGCAAGCAGAGGGGTTGGGGCAATCAGGCAGGCAGGCAGGTGAACAGTTAGGAGCCAGCAGTCCTGGATTGTGGGAGGGACTAAATCGGCAGTCTGACATCCCCTGAGGGGTCCCAGATTGGAGAGGGTGCAGGCCGGGCTGAGGGAACCCCCCCTCCCTGCATGAATTTCATGCACCAGGCCACTAGTTTGTTAATAAGAGGAATACTCCTTAGAGAAGAGGAGAGGTTATTTGGTTTTGGGGAAAGGCAAGTTGAGAATCAAGTTCTGTTTTGACCTACTTAAGTTTAAGATGCCTGTGAGATATCTAAGAAGTGTTAAGTAGGCTATTTGAAATAGGGGCTTGGAACTAGAGAAATAAATATGGAATTCATTAGGATGGATTATATGTTATCAGTTCCAAAAACGTACTTTTTCACTTCTCAGAGATCAGGATGCTTCTTCTGATTGATATCAACCAGGCAGCAATCATGATATAGTTGCCATTTGCTGTTTTGGAGTGTGTACAGGCAGACTGCCAGAATCAGACCTTGCAGAATGGAAGGCAGCAGCTTGAGGGGAAAATTGGAGACTATGGAAACACCGTTTTAAGTCACAAAAAACAAATGACTTGGAGGAAGAGGGGAGGAAAGCAGTGAAACATGTTATAGACTTTTCTTGAAACAGGAGCCAAAAGTTGCGTAGCTTTATGTAACTGGAATCCTGGGTACTGGTAGCTTTTAGTTCTTTTAAGAAATGTTGCATCATCAGCACTGTGGCACAGAGGGTGCTATTGTGTGAACAAACTTAGATATCCACAACTCTTGCATATAAAGTGATTGAGAAGAGTTGGACTCTGAATGTCAAGTTTTAGAAATACTTTTGCCACTTAATTTTATATATATTTATCATTTCATGTTTATAAAAATGATATATGATCAAAATCTGCCTATATCTAAAACTCTTATAATCTTTATAAAATAAAAAATTCTAAGTGTTGATAAAATTGTGTTATATATAGTTTAATAGGCAGTTTTTTCTTAGTAATGTATAAAATATATTGTTTGTTAGAATTTATGGCTTTTCAGTGAAATACAGTAGGTGATAGTTAAGGCCAGGGAATAAATGGGATCACTTAGGTCCGAGTTTTCATAAAAGAATTACAGAGCTTTATAGAATCTACTGTGTACACAGATCGCCTCACCATACTTCCTCCTCATTCTTCAAGATTCTCTCTCTGTCTCTCTCCCTCTCCCTCTCCCCCTCCCTTCCATTTCCACCCCAGTGGCTGAACACAGAATTTTTTAAAAATAAGGCCATAGATTAGCAAAATAGTGCTCACTTTGTACACTGGTTTTATTTTCCTTCTGTTTATGCTTCTAGGAAGAAATATGGGAAGTTATAGTGGGTGTTTATTCAAAAGGAATCCAAGAGTGATGGTAGGAATAGAATGTAGCAAATAGATCAGTGAAGAGCTATCTTAATGTTCTGGTAATTTTTGCTAACTAAATATTTCCATCCTCTAAAGGCTCCACTTCTTTATTTTGTGTGTATGATTTTTTTTAAAGGAATACCCAGAAGAAAGGACAGTAAACGTGAGCTCCATTCGGGTAAATAAGTTTATTTTATCATTTTCAGGGATTTCATACAGCTTCATTTTATCAGAAGAATTTATATTTTCACTTTTTCCCAAATCTTAAGTCTACTTCCTCCACAAAGTCAAAGTGAAGTGTTTACCTTCTGAATTCATCCCCATGACATTTATGTGAATTTATTGGCACGTACCCTCTATAGTCTTCTCTAAAAATACAACTATTTGTAATTTGACTCTTGCTGTTGTGACCATGTTTCTCATTTTACAGTACAGTTTTATATATTCAGAATGTTATTATAAAGCTAATTTAACAAACCCAAACACAGTTGTCTCATTATTCTAGAAACTCTGCTGTGTACATACTTAATGTAGGCAGTAATATAATAATGTCTATTCCTGTGTTATCTAGTTTAGATGCTAAATTCCTAGAGCGTGGGAGTGATGACCCATTTCTATTTCACAATTCTTACTCAGTTGAACAGCTGATTTTTTTTGCCAATATAACAAAAGGAATGTTTAGCCCTTAAACTTTGGGTACTTTCTTGTTTGTCTGTTACTTAGTGAATGAGAAGGTAGAGAATAAGCATAGTAAATATTCAATAAGTAATCTTACCCTTTTTGTGCCTACAGGGAAAGAAATGGAATGAGTATTTGGACTATTTATTTTCAGAGGGCTTACAAGGCTTGAAACTTTTCATACGAAGTAGTATTCGTCATTCTTCTGTCCCCTGACAGACAGCATAAACTCCATGATCAACATGAAATGAATGCTGACAGAAACAAACCAAGCATACTGGACTAAATTCCTTCCTCGTTGCCAGAGAGGCCAAGTGGCTCACCTTGAGTTTCCATATACTTTTTACTAACACACTGTCATCCTCAGGTAGTGCTTGGGCTGGCCTTTGATCGTGGCTCAGGAGAGCTTTGATGTGGCTAGCTTTGCTTTTCGGGGTCTAGATTCTTTAATGCACTAGCGAAAAATGATTTAATCATCAGGCTCTATCTTTCACCAAATTATATATAAAGAGATATATCCATTATGTGGTGGGATTTTTCACATTCTTGTGGAGTATAAGCTGCCTTGATGGATGACAGCAGGTATTAAACAGTAGCAGTTAAGCCGCAGACATACTTATGCAAAATACTCTGCTGTCTCTATGAAACCTCCATTGATACTGCCATTTTTCTGACTGTGAGCAATAGCACCAACACCAAGTTAATAAGTAGTTGGCTGATTCCTTGGTTTTCACTGGTAGCAACTTAATGAGAGAAGGAAGGAGAGAGAATTGTGGAGTAATCAAGACATCCCTACGCATTACGGGTTTGATTTCATGAAACTGCTCTGGTTTTTGTGTATATATGTATATACCCCATTTTTAAGTGTTTAGGCAACTTTATTTTCAGGAATAATTCTGAAGCCTTTTTAAAAACTTGGTAATAGCTAGAATATCTTGCTGAAAATTTACTTTAAATTTTGCTTCAGTGCTACTGAATAACTCTCTCTTTTAATAAAATTCATATCATTTGAGAGAAATCAAGTAAGATTTTTTATTTTAGGGCACATTTTTATGGTTCTTTTTTCTTTTAAAGCAAAATCCTAAACTATATTATTGGATAATGTTCAGAATAGAATCTCATTTATCAATTCATTTTTTTGATTCAATACATGTTTACTGAGCATATTGTATGCCAGGTGTTCTGTGTGCTGATTATAACAGCTGTCACCTACAAAGTACTTGCTTTTGTGGAATTTAGTATATCCCATTGGAGAAGACAGACAATAAAACAGTAAATAAATATATAAAATCAGTTGCTATAAAGAAAAAGCAGGTAATAGAAACAGAATGTTGAGAGGATTGCTATTTTAGATAAGGTGGTTAAAGAAGGCCTGTTTGAGAAGTGACATATGCAGAGGCCATAATGAAATAAGTGTATGAGCCAAGTGAATATTTGGGGAAAGCATTCTGGGCAGAGGTAAAGGCAAGTGAAAAGGCTTAAAAATATTAACTTTCTTGGCCTGTTTGAAGAATAATAGGCCAGTAAGATAAAAACAGTGATTAAGGAATAGGAGTGGTAAGAAATGAAATAAGAGGAAGCCAGAGAATACTTCATGAAAGTCCTTATAGCCCAGAATGGATATATAATGGGAAGCCATAATTTGACTAACCTACTAAGTATATGGAACTATAGTGTGAAGTTAGACTGAAGAGGATTTAGGGTGAAAGAGAGACCAGTTAGGTTATTACAGTGTTCCAGGTAAGAGTCTTAGATTAGCATGGTTGATGAAGAGGAAATGTTTAGATATTGAATTCAGACTCACTTTAAAGGTAGAGAAGATATTGATCTGCTGATAACAGGTATAAGGAGAGGGAAAGAGATGGGTAAAGGATGACTTTTAGATTTTTGAGCAACTGGGTAAATACTGGGATGCAGAGAGGAGGCATACTGGAAGAAGAACCAGTGTGGAGGAGTGTGGAATCAGGAGTTCTGTTGTGACCATGTTAAGTTGCAGATGCTTAGTAGTCAGCTGAATATCCAAGTCTAGATTTCAAGGTGCAAGTTGGAATTGGCAAAATTAATTTGGGAGTTATTAGTGGATAGCCACAACATTGGATGAGATCATTTACTATAGCTGGAAAAGAGAAGGTGGCAAAGGACTGAGCTTTGGAGTGTGCCAATATTAAAAAGCAGAGAGGGGGAGGAACCGGCAAAAGACTGAGAAGGACCCTCCAGTGAGCTAGAAGAAAAGTCAGGGACTGGTGTGCTGGAAGCCAAGTGTAGAAAATGTTTCAAAGGAGTGTTTAATGGTGTGGAATGTTTACCTGAAAAAAAGAAGCTTTAGCTGATTCGAAGTAAATGTGATAGCTTCCCCAATGGGTAACCTCATATAGAGAGGCCTCTTTTGTTTTTAAGTTTGTACTCCAAATAACTTCCCATATTGTTTTTCAGAACATGATATTTTGGTCTTTAAGATGATATAGAACTTTAATTATTGAAGGGATTTGATTATTTAACCCCTAATAATCTTCAGATTATCAAAGGAATCTTTTCTAAACTTAACTTTATGTTCCAGAAGAAAAAATATATTTTTCCTTAGGTTTGTCATTTGTTCAATAATTATCCCCTGGGTGCCCTGGCTGGTGTGCTCGTTCAGTGGTTAGAGTGCTAGCCCGTGCACCGAAGGGTCTGGGTTCAATTCCCAGTCAAGGGCATGTACCTGGGTTGTAGGTTTGATCCCTGTGGCATGTATGAAAGGCAACCAATCAATGTGTCTCATATCAATGTCTCTCTCTCTCTCTCTTTCTTCTTCTCTCTCTCCCTCTTCCTCCCTCCCTCCCCCTCCTTGCCTATCTCCCTCCCTTCCACTCTTTCTAAAAATCAATGGAAAAAATATCCTCAGGTGAGGATTAACAAAAAAGTTATTATTATTGTTCCCTGTGCTCCTTTTTGCCTTAACTTTTTTTCTTGATCAATGTTTTAATTCATTTAAGATTAGATATGGGGGACAGGAAGAGAATAACCAAAGAACTTATATCAGTGGTTCTCAACCTTCCTAATGCCTCGACCCTTTAATACAGTTCCTCATGTTGTGGTGACCCCCAACCATAAAATTATTTTCATTGCTACTTCATAACTGTAATTTTGCTACTGTTATGAATTGTAATGTAAATATCTGATATGCAGGATGTATTTTCATTGTTACAAATTGAACATAATTAAAGCATAGTGATTAATCACAAAAAGAATATGTAATTATATATGTGTTTTCCGATGGTCTTAGGCGACCCCTATGAAAGGGTCGTTCGACCCCCAAAGGGGTCGCTACCCACTGGTTGAAAACCGCTGACTTATATGCATATAAGTTCTGAGGTGGGGATGGGAGTGGGGAGGAGGGGGTAAATGGAAGAAAAAAAAGGGACATCTGTAATACTTTTAACAATAAAAATAATTAAAAAAATAAAAGATTAGATGGCCCTGGCTGGTGTGGCTCAGTTGATTGAGCATCCTCCCATGCACTTAAAAGTCATTGGTTCCATTTCCGGCCTGGGCACATACCCAAGTTGTGGGTTTGGTACCTGGTCCAGGTATGTGCAGGAGGCAACCTATCGGTGTTCTCTCTATCTCCCTCCCTCCCTCTCCTTCTCTCACCCTCTTTCTGAAATCAATAAAAACATATATTTTTTTCCACATTTAACAGTCCATCATAGCTAAACAGTGCCTTCTTTTTTTTACTAAATTTATTGGCGTGACATTGGTCAACATGAACATATAGGTTTCAGATGTGGATTTCTATGTTACAAGATCTGTATATTGGACCATGTGCCCACCAACCAAAGTCAAATCTAATAAAAAGATCCTATCTAATAATAGACAAACATGGTAATTAACCGTAACTTCGCTACCCTTCCCATTGGCTAATCAGGGCGATATGCAAATTAACTGCCAACTAAGATGGCGGT